TACTGTTCATATTTTTCCATATTATTTAAACTTAGGAGGTCTCTCATAAAAACCACAAAACCTACAATCATTCAAAAATACTTATTAGTAATTTATTTTAGGAACCAAGCGATGAGGAACATTATGTGGACTCTCAGCACAACCCAGCATATGATCACGAGGCCTTCCTCGGGGAGGAGGCGAAGACGTTCGACCAGCTCACCCCTGAGGAGAGTACCAGACGATTAGGAATAATAGTCGACAGAATGGACAAAGACCAGGACGGTTTTGTCACTGGAGAAGAACTGAAAGACTGGATACTGTATACTCAGCAACGTTACATCCGAGACAACGTGGAACGCCAATGGAAGTCGCACAACCCTGAAGGGAAAGAGAAACTCCCCTGGGCGGAGTATTTATCAATGGTTTATGGAGATATGAACGAACACGAAGCGGAGAATCTTGAGAAATCTAAAGACAACAATTTTTCATATGCAATTATGCTTAAGAAGGATCGCAGGAGGTGGTCAGCAGCTGACTTAGACGGTGACGATGCTCTTACTAAAGAAGAATTCACAGCCTTCTTGCATGCTGAAGAAGCAGATCATATGAAGGATATTGTCGTTCTTGAGACTCTGGAAGACATTGATAAGGACGGAGATGGGAAAGTGTCTGTCTCTGAGTACATAGGTATGCAATAACCATTTGTGTTCACTGTTTTTCATGTGAGAATTAGAGATAACTTATCTTCCTTGTTGTAGGTGATTTATATGATGGTGTGCAAGGCGAGGAGGAGCCCGAGTGGGTGAAGAACGAGAGGGAACAGTTCTCCATGTACCGTGACAAGAACGGTGACGGTTTCCTGGACTTCGACGAGGTAATATACTAGAGGCTTGTCTTCAACGCTGAAATCACTATTCTTGAAACCATTCCTTACATGATTTATCAGTTGGAGTCACCATAAACTTGCACAAGCATTCTATGCACTTCAGCTGCACTTTTCTTTTAATTAAAGTAGCAAACTAACATTTTCACATACTCAACACAGTAAAAACCAAGGTTTTTGTATGAAACAAAGCAATATAAACTGAATATTATTGACAGATGTTTAACTCATCTGAAATGAGCTAGTCATATTTTGAAAATGGACCAATAATATACTTACTTATGATACTTAATAATTAATAGGTGAAGGCTTGGATCATTCCGGCTGATTTCGACCACGCTGAGGCTGAATCTCGACACTTGATATTCGAAGTGGACACAGACGCAGATCAGAAGCTTACGAAGGATGAGATATTGGATAAGTACAATATATTCGTCGGGTCCAAAGCTACGGATTTCGGCGAAGCTTTGACCAGGCACGACGAATTTTAAACGAACAAAACGGCCATTAAATGTATAAAGCATTTACTTATTTATCTGTAGTTAAGAATCTTTTTATAACTGCTTTTTACTTAAAGAAAATTCATTATATCTTTTCTAACTGTAAATAGGAAATAAATTGATTATGACAAATAAACTTTTCTACGTGAATCGAGATTCGTATTTTCCATTGAACTCCCAATAGTATCTGATAAATTCAACTATTGTGTAGTATCTAGAATCGTGATAAAGAGTTTATCAGATAAGCTCTCTTGGTCATTCCGAACAGTTACAATGATCTGAACAGGAAGAAGTGCTCTAACACTCTGGAACGATGGGATCTAATAATTTGTGTCTATTTTTAGTTATCTGTGCGACGTTTTTGTCAGGTAAACCCTAAAAATATTTTGTTCCTATATAATAAAGTATACTTGCATATTACAAACTCATTTTAAACTTAGTTACACTTGCTTTACTTTACAGTTGACAAGGTCACAGGATACGATATAGCACCTGCTGTGGAGGACAAAGCAGAATGCTTTCTGTATCGTTGGGTCGCCTGGGATAACATTGATAAAACCAACTGTACAGGCCGTAAAAATGTCCCTTGCATCGAACCTCTGATCAATTCAACTGGTAAGTAGTTTTCAAGGTCCATCTTACACATCAAATAATCCTTCCGTTCTTATAGACACATTACCAAACTCGACGGATCTATGGGTGAATCGTGATAAAAATCCTGAAAACTACTTTTGTACTGGCGAGGCTGGCAATAGCTGCGTGAAATATACGTATTTCTACGACAACAATGGTAAATTGAACTATGTATTGGGTCATCCGGCAAGTCTGTGCAGATTTTTAGTGAGTGGGTCAGGACTGAGTATATCAGAATGATTGAAAACAATTGTTTATGCGTTCTAAAACGTGACTCTTAAAGTATCTTTAGAAGAAGCCATTATATCAAAAGCCTAAAACGTGATTTTAAAAGCATCTTTAGGAAAAGTCA